GACAATGAATGTTTTTTTTTTGGCGCAATTATTTTTTCCCCCCTTATAGTTTTGCTTGGAAGAAATAAATTTGTGCTCTAGATTGTCTATTCAATTTTATGATGAATTGCATTTCTATTTTTACTATTTTTATTTTACATCAAACTGATAAAATTAGATTAAAGAATTAGAATGAATTTAAGAATTCTATTTTGTTCTTTGAATTCTAGTTAATTTATTTTAGCTAAAAACAAAATAACCAACCTAATTAGTGACGTTGGTGATATCCATGCATGTTTGGCCTTCTTTCTTGATCACTAACCTAATTTGGTAGATTTATGTGCTATAACGCTAAATGTTAACCCCATTTTTTTTATATAAAACTCCATGGAAGGGAAGGAAAAATAAACGAAGAAATAAATTCCCTTAGGGTTTGTTTGGTTGGAGGGGAGGGGAGGGGAGGGCAAATGAGCCCCCCTCATTGGTTAAAAATTTTGGAGGGAAGGGGAGCTAAAATGTCCCCTCCCCTCCCCCCTCCCCCTCTCCCAACTCCCATTTGGCTCCCCTTCAAATTGGGGGTTTTTGGAGATGAGCCAAATTTTTGAACCATTATGCCCTTATAGTTTTTTTAATATTCCACTTCTACCCATAAAATATATTATATAATATTTATTTCAAATAAAAAATATATTATCATAAGTAAAAAAAATAAAAAATATATACATTATTATAATTAAAAATATATTTTAAAAATTATTTAAAAATAAAAATTATAATATTATAAAATTAATTGTTTTTATAAATATATTATTTATTAAATATATTTTAAAGCTGGAAAAAAAGATAGCCTAAAGAGAATAAATTTCATTTTTCTTAGAGCATATAAAATTTGTTAATTTGTTATTTTAAATATATTATTATATTAATTAGAATAAAAAATTACTGTACCAATTTTTAATACACATATTAACATGATAAGACTGAATTTTTATTAAATTATATGATTTAAATTAAGATGTAAATTAATTTATATAATATATCAATAAAAAACATAAACTAATATGTAAGGGTAAAAATGGTAAATTGATTATTATTATCCTTCCCCTCCCCTCCTTGAACTAAACAAAGGATCATTAAATATCTTCCCCTCCTCTCCTTTTTAATCAAACCAAACAAAGTAAGGATGAAACCCCCCCTCCCCTCCCCTACCCCTCCCTCCCCTCAAACCAAACAAGCCCTTAAAACCCATCCTTGCAAACTCCAGCGCAACGTAACCACCAAGTCTTTGATACTAATGAATTAGTAAAAGTAAATATTTAATGATTCTTAAGTGAAAACGGTAAGTTTTTTTAATATCTGTTAATATACATAACGACAATTATAAATTAATTTTACCCAGCATTTAACATATTCAAAAGGGATGAAACTGAAAATTTTGTGACTTAAACAGTCCTACTTGATTTAATAATTAATTTAAGTAAAAACCAGAGATTTTTGAAGGCCATTAGCTAAGTTATAGATAGGATGAAATAGTCAAAAACGAATATAAGTAATTGTCGGGTTTGTTAATTTCCTTACTCCGATGTTATTCTCATGCATATAAAATTTATTTTTGGATAATTGATAGTGTGTTAAAAATACATTACTATATCTATCACCTTTCTAACAATCAACCGAAACCCATCCAATTGGTCATCCGCCAGAACTGCAACATGGATCTTCGATAGCTTCCAAAAAAAAACCCCAAAAAATGAATACGGGTGGAGGTTAACAATCGACGACAAGAAGAAAGAACATACAAACAAACCCCAAGAAGTCAGAGATTCATACGTACCTGCCTATTCATGAGAATAAAATTCAAAGACCTCACCTAACTTCTGTAAAAGCCAAACCATGTCATCATACACACTCACAACAGACACACAGAGATGTTTATCACGGCACCCTGACCTCATCAACGCCAAAGAAATCTCCATAGAGCAATCTGTTCTTCTAGATAACCCTCTGCAGCAAAGAAAAAAAGGAAACAGTCAATACCGAATAGCAAAATCCAAAAGACAAAACAAAAATAGATTCACATGAAATAGTGGAAAAGGGACAGCAAAAAAGCCCACCAACAACTTTATATTTATATAGTCACCAACGCAAAAACCAATGAAAATCCACCCGTCCAATACAAAGGGAAATGGAAAGGCTCCCAACAAATGAAAACAAAACGTCCAAAGCAAATACATGTACCAACCGGGAGGGGGGGGATCATATGCCCAAACTCATATATTTGTAGACCCAAGAAGAGTGGAAAATCGACAACAACAAAAAATAGAACATAAATGAAAACAAAACAACTAACCCAGTCAGGTGCACGGACTAAAAACGGATAGACCGTAAATGAAAACAAAATAACTTTTTTTTTAGGAAAAATACCCCCGTCAACCAATAGGAAGAAAACAATATTTTTTTTTGGATAATTAATTTGCAAGTCCTTATAGTTTCAACCAATTTTGAATCAGGTCCTTATAATTTTTTTTCTTTTTATCAAGTCCTTATACTTTCATCTGTTTTTAATTAGGTCCTTGCATTTATTTTTCTTTTTATCAAGTCCTTCTAAGATCACCTTATTTTTAAGTAAGTCCCTGAATTTTTATTCTTTATTTTATAAATTCTAGTAGTACTATTCTATAAACATAAAATAGTATATATTATGTAATATTAGTTTATAAACAATAATATTCTAAAAATAATGAATTATTATAATAATTTTATTTTTTTAGCAAAAACATAATTGTTTTAAAAAAAATTTCCTGAATTAATTAATTATATTATTTATCTTTTATTATATAATTATTAATATTTTATACTTCAGTATTAATTTATTTAATTAAGTTTATATTTAATTAATAAATAAAAATTAAAAATAGATGGACCTGATTAAAATTTTAGTGAAATTATAAGGACTTAATAAAAAGAAAAATAAATGCGAGGACCTAATTAAAAATAGATGAAAGTATAAGGACCTGATAAAAAGAAAAAAAACTATAAGGACCTAATTCAAAATTAGTTGAAACTATAAGGACTTGCAGATTAATTAACCCTTTTTTTTAAAAAAAAAAATCTACAATATCCACACGGACCAATCATAAAGTCACTAAAAGGTTTATAGGTCATATAGATAAATGGATAATATTGCCACGAATTTAAACTTCCAGAACAAATTTTTACTTAAAAAATTTTTCGGGTGCCCAAAGTTTCTGGGTGAAAACTTTCAAGCCAAATTTGCATAAGAACATGTTTTGTATATTAACTATTAATTTGAAAATTAAGTAAAATTAATATATATATATATATATGAAAAATCAATTTGATGTTTCAAAAGGTGCAAGATCTGCAATGTTTTTTCCCAGTTTCGGCCAGGAAGAAAGCAAAATAGCTCTATGTAAACTTCAGAGTTTAAATATAAGGGGAAAATTAACCACCTAAAATAAGGGTAAAAATTGCAGAAAACAAAGTGGCGTATATATGACTGATATTAATGAATAATTCATAAATTTCTTGGGTTCCCTAGCGTAAATCAGGTATCAACCATACCAAAAAAAAAAAAGGGTCTCAATTCTGAACAGAACCAAGCCTGATTACCGAGCCTTGAAATGATGATGATAATGCTAGGAAAATGTTATGAAGAATGCAGGTTGGAGAATCGGGAAGGGAAGCAAAAGCATCAAGACCTTACTAATTTTTTCTCCTGGCCTAAGCAGGACTGGATTATCTGGAACTCAAAGCGTGAAGTAGGGAATCAATCCACCTGAAAAATACCCCGGCAAAAGCTCTTTAATTTGTTTATGTTATTGGGCATATGGAAGGATAGATGCAGTAAAGTTATTCTCGGGAGCCTAACTCTGAGAAAGATTTACTCAAAGAACTATCAAGGCCTATCTCTTGAAAAACATCCTCAACCCATCCTACAGATATCACTCTTTGCTTTAAAATGGTGAAACTACTTGCGGCGGCTTACTCCAGGACAGCAAGGGAATATGGAAACTTGGTTTCATCAAAAAAATTAGGATACACTCCTCATACAGTTGCAGAGATTATAGGAATTCATGAAAGTTTTTGTTTTAGTTGGAACCATAATTACTGCAAAATATTGCCGTTTTCGCATGAGTTTTACAGCTCAACCTCTTAATGGCTGGCTAAGAAAATGCGCAATTGGATTGTCACATTTGACCTCATATTAAAAGAATTTAATCATTATGGTGATTTTTGACCTAATAAGCCCAACAAAAACAAATTCTTATCCTACTAGATGAAGTCGGCTACATAGATCGCACGACGCTATTAAATTCTATTTAAGGCTGATTTTTTGAATATATTGTTAATTGAAAGATCTCACTCAATAATTTTCATAAAGTGTTCTCTTTAGCGTTTGACACACTGAGGTCAACAAATGGATATTTAAGTTGTCATCATAGATATTTTCCCCGCAGATTACAAAACCATTCTCTTCAAATATTTGAATTCTAAGCTTCTAGTAGCAAGTTAGTTTCCATGTGTTTTATGCGGCCTTTTATTTTTTTTAAAAAAAAAACGATAGTAACATTTCCTTGTGATATCAGATAATGAACAAGCAAGGACAAATCAAGTATTAGAGGTTGTTCTATTCATAAATGTGAAATAAGTATTAATAGCAAGCTTATTTTTTAATTTCCGTTTGACCGAGCAAAGAGCACTTAAAACCGCGAGATGATAACATACCGCAAATACACTGAGAAAAGCTTCTTCCGGTGATCTTACAAAGAAGTAGAATTCCATTGCTTTGAAATACCTAGTATCAGGCGTATTTATCTAGAACAATACATTAGTCGACACGAGAAAAATCTTACCACACAAGAAAAATCTTACAACATCGTAGACATTGCATATTACTAGGATATATACAATGCTGGTTAAACACAAGAACTGTTTAAAACCAAGCATACACAATATCAAACCGACAAACGGTATATTCATGACACATGTCAACGTACTGTACAAACATATGTTTATATGTTGCTTGTTCAACTTGTTCTGGTCAAAGATATGCAGAGACTGACATGGACAAGGTTTCCCTTAGACATACGATCTGCTAATATGTCTTGGCAATGTCGGAAAACATCGTCCATTACAGCTTCACCAAAGTAGGTCACAAGCAAAGGTTCAGCCACAGCTCTCATGAATTGTGTAATTTGGTAGTCTTTACTGTCATTACGTTTCTCATCATAAGCATCCTCCCAACTTGTTTCAAATACCTCTAAGTGATTAGCAGTGAAGGACCCTTCTTTTGCAACCTCTAATTCCAATTCAGATGAGGACGGAGTATATAGAGGAATATTGAATGAATCCATTTGATCTTCCCTTATTATTCCCTTCATTTCACATCAAAACAAATTGCTCTATCATGAATCTGTATCATTTTCTTTCAGTATGTGCATTTCAAAGAATATTGTTAATCAAAAAGAAAATATGACATATATAATTAGAGTATAAATATATGTACCTCTAAGACCATGTGATTAAGTGCTTCAGCCACGATGTCCCAGATGAGGCAAGATTTATTCATCGATGGTTCATTATTGCTTCTTCTTCCCAAGAGGGTAAGTACCATATGACCCCCTTCAACTACTTCTTGAGCACGACACTTGAGAAACATTGAGAAGTCTCTCTGAAATTGATGGTAGTAAGCATTCCACACACTTAAAGGGCTTGTGCTTGTCATATAAATGTTGCCCTTATTATTCTCTACGCCCTCAGGAACCTACAATTAATAATCACATACAACCATCAGTGAATTGCAATTTAATTAATCTGCAAGTATAAACAACTAATTATTCAATATTATTTAAAAGAAAAGGTTAATTATATATACCTGAGACATCCATTGAAGACCATAGGAGGAATGAACAAAATGTAAAGAATTTGTAGGAAAAATCCTGCCATAGAAAGAACCAGGAACTCCAGCGATGTAACATGGACCAAACCCACCTGCCACTCCTCTTAGCTTCTGTTTGAAGCTTTCAATAGACTTGAAGATGTTGTTAAAGTCATTGCTTGGTAGATCATTCAAGAAGATCGTATATTCTGGAGATCTGTGGTTTAGGTCTCTGCAAAGCTTCTCCACAGTTTCAATCAGTTCGCAAGTGACAAAGAAAGTGTTTGGTCCAGAAGAACAACCCAATTCTGCAATTGCTAGGCTTCGAGGGAATGTTTCTCTGTAGAAGCACTGAATAGCTTCATCTCTTATGGGCTTTGTCAAAGAAACCGCCTTTCTCTATCCACATTGATTGTGTATGTTATTTCATTAGTTAATATACATGATATTATAGAACTTTCATATACCCTAATGGAAGCATGCATGTAATTGGGATGTCAGAAAGGACTGGACAAAATTAGATATATACCTGTAATAAAGAATTGTTTGCATAGCTTGTTTCTCCAATGCCTCCATTCATGTGCAACACTTGAGCAACATCCATTCGCAGATGAATAATTCTACAATTATGTTTCTCAATAATAAGGATCAATAACCCACATGCATGTTATTAAGAAAAAAATATGAGTCCCAATTTTCGCCTTTGGCCTATAATCATGTCAATAGTTATTTCTTCTTAAAAACTGAACTTTTTAGTAAATTACTGAATACCATTCACTAATTAAGCAAGTACAAAGCAAAACAACGAGAGCAAGTTTACTTTACCAAAACCCACCTCTAGACTAATAGGTGGGGATTGATCAAAGATACAAAAATTACCTTCCATGTGAGAGAATGGGAGGCCTTAACTAAATAGTCAGCAAAAGTAAGGTCATCACTCAGACTGTGTCTTAACAAAGCCTGCCAATCCCTATGAATAAACAATCTAGACTCGTCCAAAATATACCTAAAAGGATATTTACTGACACAACCTCTAGTAACCAGATTAATGGCTTCTATAGAATCAGAATACACAACTATGTTTTCAAGACCTTTTGATCAACACAGATGAAGACCATTCATGATCACTCATAGTTTCACAATAGCAGGAGGAACTGTCGAACTGATGTGAGGCTCGAGCTCAAACCACTAATTCACCTTCCCTCACTATCACGACTCCCCCATATCCACTGCGGCCATCCAGTAGAACCGAACCATCAACTTCTAGCGTGCTGAACCCTATGCGAGAGTTACTCGTGCATTCCACATTTGGGAACTAGTTGGCAGTTACAATTTTCCATCAAATATCAACAAGAAGGAAAGAAACTATTCTGAGCATTGGAATCTTCACTAATTTTTCATAACCGAGACAACTATGGGCTCCTTGAGCTTGTTGAGGTAACTGGGATAGAAGACGTATAACATAAAAGCTCCTGCTACGTTGTGTTTGGGTTTTCAGAAAGTTGGTCTATGCCTGCAAGTTGACTTGATAATATATAATTGTAATTTGTGTTATTCCATGGTGTCTTGTATTATGGTTCATGGTTTTGGGAAGGAACTGGGTGACGTCACTACTGCAGGAAGGGATGTCAATTAAGGAGGGTTTTCATTTTGGACATATATTGGAGGGTCATATGTACTAGCAACTTTGTTTTAAATTTACTTAGATAAAACAAATAACTAACTGTCAGTTAAACCAAAATAGTAGCATAGAAAGTACACTTTCAGCATAACCTACGTATAAACATTATACCAAAATATATTGGCACCTTCATACTAGAAACAATATCCAATTAAGTGCCAACGAATGATTGGAGACAGTATTTAGAAAGTTTGATATGAATATATCAAATGAACATCTTAAGTTACATTTTCCTCCAATTCCTGTGAGACACTGAAATCTAACGTTTAAAATTGACAAATTCATTCACCATGGTTACGATAGAAGAAAGTGAGTATTAAGAAAAAGTCAAGACAAATATTTTGAATATTGATAGGAAATCTGGATATGATGTTAGAAAAAGCAAATGCTCCCCAGAACACTACAAAATTTAAGAAGCATCACTCAACCATAAAAGTTGGTACCAAAATTGCGGCAACAATTTTGGTTGAGGCACTCTACAAGAGAACAAGATATTGAAAACCGGAATGGCCTCTAGACCAATTGAGACAGTGGATTAAAGGTTAATGGGTTAGATTGGAGTCAACCCAAGAATCAAGTACTTGTGAGGAATAAAAAAATTACAAATTAATTTAAATGCTTATCATGCCATCCAAAAGACTAAATATCAATTTAATACTTTGAATCTCTAACAAAATAATCATATTTACATTTTCTTTCCAATTTTCCATACGATTCCCTTGACAAATTGACGTCATAGTATCATATTATTAAAATCACTAAATATTCATTCTAGCAAAATATTAAACTAGATTTATGGTAACAAAATATTTCTGTCAACAATCATTTAGTCACTGAACTAATATTTTTTTAGCATTAAAACAACTTTAAAAACACACAACTGGGTTAACCCACCAGACCAATTGAGTTAGCTAGGTTTCTCACGGGTTATATTGAGTCACCCCGAGTCGGCCTACTGCCAGTTTGTGTTGCCGGCCGGTCCAATCGGTTTTAAATTCTATGCGAGAAAACAAGTTTTTTCTCAGAAAAATTTGAGACAACTTAGGGAACCCGAGACGAATTAATTTTTCCTCAGATTTTGTCACAAATAAAATAAGAGAAGGAACCCATAGAAAAAAGTTTGTTCTCTCGGAACCCCCCGCGGTAAATATTCTCTTAGAAAATTCTGCGAGAAACTTTATCACTTAACATTTTGAGCAATGCAAGTTGCTTAGAAATGCTAATTAATCTTCGGCCCTTTTCCACTATCAACAAGTCAGGACATGAAGCAATGTAATAATTCTAACAGACAGTAATGTAAAAAATGGGGAAAAGGTAAAGAACTTAACAGACACATATCAGAATAAGTAGACCCAACAAGAAATGAAATCTATAACTAGGGACCACCTAAACGAACATGGAGAATTATGAGTTTGATATAACGCATTAGTAAGCATGTTATTTCCAACAGCTGAAAAATGTTATTGTATTCAATTATAGGCAAGAAGCTATGAAATATAGCCGTGCAGATGGAAAATAAAGATTACTTCTTATATCAAACAGAATCAATCTATATAGAAAAATTGGTACTGGGTAGCTTCACCGAGGGCTTGAAAACTCGAGAGTTGAGAGAGGGAGGGAGAGGGATCAAGGGAGAGACTCACGCACCGCACCGGGAAAGAGCAACAATGTGGACGAAGGACGGGTTTACAGAATAAGCAATCAGAGGGTATGGAAGAATGGAAGCTTACCTATCTTCTCCAGATGACGATGCGGCTCTGGGCGGCGGTGATGAAGACTTAGAAGAGCACAATGGGCGACGTTAATGAGAACTTAGAAGAGCGGTGGGCGGCGGGTGAATTAAAAAGGCTCTCTGTCACACGATTAATCACCAGCGATTCACTATTTTTTGGGATATGATTGTGATATTAGTGAAACATTTTTGTAATTTTTTTGGCCAGGATTAAATAATAATAATAATTAATGGGGTGGTGTGTTTGGTTCCCAAAACTGAGGGGAGGAATTTTAAAATAAGGAAATGGAGCAGGACAGATTTTAATGTTGTTTTATTCGATTTGAAAGAGTCAAAGAGAATAAATTTTATACGCACAACTTTATCATTATTATTTTATTAATTATTGGGTTAATTAATCTGCAAGTCCTTATAGTTTCAACTAATTTTGAATTAGGTCCTTATAGTTTTTTTTCTTTTTATCAGGTCCTTATACTTTCATCTATTTTTAATTAGGTCCTCGCATTTATTTTTCTTTTTATTAAGTCCTTATAATTTCACTAAAATTTTAATCAAGTCCATCTATTTTTAATTTTTATTTATTAATTAAATATAAACTTAATTAAATAAATTAATACTGAAGTATAAAATATTAATAATTATATAATAAAAGATAAATAATATAATTAATTAATTCAGGAAATTTTTTTTAAAACAATTATTTTTTTGCTAAAAAAATAAAATTATTATAATAATTCATTATTTTTAGAATATTATTGTTTATAAACTAATATTACATAATATATACTATTTTATGTTTATAGAATAGTACTACTAGAATTTATAAAATAAAGAATAAAAAATTCAGGGACTTACTTAAAAATAAGGTGATCTTAGAAGGACTTGATAAAAAGAAAAATAAATGCAAGGACCTAATTAAAAACAGATGAAAGTATAAGGACTTAATAAAAAGAAAAAAAATTATAGGGACCTGATTCAAAATTGGTTGAAACTATAAGGACTTGCAAATTAATTATCCCATAATTATTCATGATCTCTACATCACTTATATACGGTAAAATATTTTCGTATAGAGATTTTAAATGATGATTTTATTAATATTAACATGCTACTATCTCCGATTTTAATTATAAGATCTTGTGTATAATCTACAAATGAGATCTTATAATTAGTACCCGAGATAGTATCTTATTGATTTTAATATATATGTCTGTGTGAAAAGAAAGTAAAGGAAGGTACTGTGGGAATATTGAAAAAGGCCAGAGAGGGGAATTCAGGTGAGTTTTGCAATAAGAGATTCGTAAACTGCAACTGACTGTCCATTAATCAAATTAATGCGTATTTGGTGTTTTAAACAATGTCATGCCACTGCTCAGCCAGCAGGCAACTAACCTCCTCACGTGAGCCCCCCATTTCCCTTTTCCTTGTTAAGTGCTTGCTTGAAATGACAATGGATCAAATAAAATTTTGTAAGTAAAATCAAAGATTAAATGTGTTAAATAAAAATAAAAAATTTAACCTCCTTACATTTTTAGTAACTGAACCCATCTCACAAACATATTAATTAATTTTGGATTATATTGCATAATTACTTCTTTGAAACTTGGATTATTTTGAGCGTCAGCTTGATAGTATTTCTTATGGTCTTAATCTTATAATTATTGGCTCTTAATACTACAAAAATTCTTTATCAAATTTAGTAAAACATTAATGAGTCATTTTTTAAATATGCCATTAATCATCTCTTTTACGCTTGGCTTAATTGATGGTTTTTTTCATCATATCAACTCCCCAAATGAACTGCTATCAATCGAAAAATAAATTTGGAAAGTCGCAAGATCTTATAACATCATAGACATTACTAGGGCACAGCACTATATGTTGATTAAACACAATGTCAATATTTATTGGAGAAAATTTTGTATTTTTTCCCACACCACAAGGACTTCCTAAGATGTCACACATCTTAATACTATTATCATCTAAGTATGTTTAACTGTAAGGTTTTAATGATATCTGGTGTGTTATAGAAACACACACACACACACACATGTTGCTTCTTCTTCAACTTGTTCTAGTCAAAGATATGCAGAGACTCACATGGACAAGGTCTCCCTTAGACATAAGATCTGCTAATATATCTTGGCAGTTTTGAAAAACATCGTCCATTATGGATTCTCCAAAGTGGTTCATAAGCAAAGGTTCAGCCACAGCTCTCATGAATTGTGTAATTTGGTACTCTTTACTGTCATTACGTTTCTCATCACAAGCAGCCTCCCAACTTGTTTCAAATGCCTCCAAGTGATTAATAGCGAAGGACCCTTCTTTCTTAACCTCTGATTCCAATTCAGATGCGGACGGAGTATAGAAAGGAACGTTGAATGAATCCATTTGATCTTCCTTTATTATTCCCTTCATTGCATCACATCAAAACAAATTGCACTATCATTAATCTCCATCGTTTTCTTTTAGAATTGGCTTTTCAAAGAAAATTGTTGCATTCTCCTGTTCTAAATGAAAGGTTTAGAGGGATTTGTTTTGTTCTATATTTACTCTATCTTTCAAATTTATAATCCCCTCTTCCTATTAATTCCACACATTAAGATGTTTTTCCCATTAGGGGAGTAGTTTAAATGCGCAAATTATTAAAAGTAATACTTTGGAAAAACTAACACATTTCTTTATAAATATTGAGTTAACTAACTTTTTTAATCTATATAAATCACTCACTCCAATCTTATGTATAAATAACATTCTCCTATATATGGCTGGTAATTTATCTAAGTAACATTTTGTATTCGTTTATTTAATGTAATTTTTTTTTCATTTTTTTGCTAAACATATCTATCCTTCTATTAAAGGCAATCCTATTAGAAGCATTATTGGGCACTAAATATTACTGCCTCTCTCGGCAGAAATTCAAACCTTGATTCGTCATGTTATGAGAGATTAGCTTCTTCTACTAAACTCAATCCTTATTAGTTTCACTTTTTTCTACTCATTCTCTCTTATCTCTTTTCACACTCATTCTTTTTCACTCATTATCATCATACATAAGCACTACTATTTTTAAAAAAAAAAAGTCCATTTTTGTCCCCTATTTTCATATGAATTTGAAAACATATATGTGTGTGTGTCACACGTTTACTTACATAATTTGGTTAGTTGTTACTTATATCTAAGACTTGAGGGAGTAGTTATCTAACTCCCACATTTAGTAAAGAACAGAATAATTAACAAGACGACATGCTAGAGTATGTATATGGGTACCTCCAAGACCATTTGATTAAGTGCTTCAGCTACAATGTCCCAAATGTGGCAAGATTTTTCCATTGATGGATCACCACTGCTTCTTCCCAAGAGTGTAAGTACCATATGACCCCCTTCAACTACTTCTTGAGCACGATACTTAAGAAACATTGAGAAATCTCTTTGAAATTGATGGTAGTAAGAATTGCACACATTTAAAGGGCTTGTTCTTGTCATACAAACGTTGCCCTTATTATTCTCTACACCCTCAGGTACCTACAATTATTGAATTAATGTAATCACCCCGCTCACCAATTAATTTAATAATATCGACAATTATTATCCACTAAATACAAGCTCAAAGGAATAAAATGTATATACCTGAGACATCCAATGAAGACTATAGGAGGAATGAACAAAGTGCAAAGATTTAGTAGGAAAAATCCTGCCATAGAAAGAACCAGGAACTCCAGCGATGTAACATGGACCAGTCTGCTTCCCACCTACCATTTCCTTACTTAGCTTTTGTTTAAAGCTTTCAAGAGACTTGAAGACTGTGTTGAAGTCATTGCTTGGTAGGTCATTTAAGAAGGTAATGTATTCTGGGGATTCATGGTTTAGGTCTCTGCAAAGCTTCTCCACAGTTTCAATCAATTCATAAATCACAGAGAAAGTGTTTGGCCCAGATGTGCAACCCAAGTCTGCAACTGCTAAGCTTCGAGGGATTGTTTCTTTATATAAGCAAGTTATAACTTCGTCTCTTATGGGCTTTGTTGAAGAAATCACCTTTTGCTATCCACACACACACACACCCCATCTTTTAGTAAGTATACATAGTATTATATTTTAGGGTTGGTATCCAATTTTGTCCTAAAAGTCTTCATATAGGGACCGTGGATATTCAAAAGGCTTTTTTCTTGAATCACTATCACCCCAGAAGTTTTAAAAGGAAGCAATTCCATCTCTGGCCACTAACAATGGTAGCATTCAATGTTAGTTTTCTAATGGTTAGGGCGACTAATTTGTCATCTTTTAGTTAACTCTTCCAGAATGATTTTGATCCTAAGAAAACTTTCAGATACCCACAATTTCTATGTGAAAACTTTCGGAACTGAATTGGACCTTAATCATCCTATTTGTTATAATGGAATCAATGCATGCAAATTAGAGTTTTAGAAAGGATTGAATGAAGTTAGATATGTAGATACCTGATATAAAGAATTGTTTGAATAGCTTGCTTCTGTAGTGCCACCTTTCATATGCAACACTTGAGCCACCTTCATTCTCATCTTTACACTTCTACAGTTTATGTTTCTCAATAATAAGGATCAATAGACATACATGTTATATAAAAACAAGTAGAAGAAACAAATTTGCCTTCATCCTATATATAATCATGTTAAATATAGACATATAATTCCTCCTAAAAGTTGGAATTAGTTACCCCATTCCCTATATTTGTAACAGAATCCAGTTATTAATAACTTCTTATCTCCTCGTTAATAATGTTCTTAGTAATTCGTTAATTAATAATGATCTCATTATTAACGAATTCTTATCTCTTTCTTAATGAAATTCTTATCGATTCAATAAGAACATTATTCTCATTTCTTCATCAACTAATAAGAACGAAGTAAATGACCAAATCTCATTTGGTCAATTTGCTGCAGGCGATGGGGTTTTCCAGTTATGCGTCTTTTATTAAGTCTAATTTGGTCAATTTAAAAATAAAGACAATATAATAATGACTTTCCTACTTGATTACAAAAAGTGTGCATTTCATTTCATGAGTCTCGTAATCCCAATACTGCTACTTAATGTAATCAGCATTACAAAATGTAATTCTTTTTACATTACATAGATTCGACCACGTACCTGAACTAGCAGAATTACATGTAATCAACCCGAAGGGACATAATGATGCCATAAATATAAAAGGTTTTATTGTTTTTGCATTCTTTTCATTAACGAGATTGAGAAGATGCGGGAGAACCCGTTTGCTAGCTGGTTGTCATCCCTTCGGTTGTCCTATTTTGGCTAATTATCAAAATTAGCCAAACATTAAATTCTTTTTCAAAAACACCTAAAGAAAACTACTTTTATACATTATGTCAAGTTTTTCAATCACATATGGCCATATATTTTTTTTCATGTAAGTTTATAATTAAATGATACCAAATGCTAATATTCTAAAAATAGAATACATGATAATGTGTAATTGGAGAATTTAATATAATAAATACCTAAATATTGTCCTTTCTTTTCCATCTTAGCCCATTAATTGTATCTTTTTCCTCTCTTCTCAACCCCTTCACTATATTTTAAAGGCTAAGGTATACTTTTAGTCCTTTAAGTTTGCACAAGATTTTATTTTGGTCATTTAACTTTAAAAAATAAACTTTTAGTCCTCTAACCGTAAAATTGTTAACAAAAAATGATGATATTGAACTCTTAAATACTGATAAAACATTACTAAATACTAACATATTAAGTTTAACATTCAAAACAATCATGATTATTAGAAAAAAAATATCATTTAAGACTAACAATTTTGGAGTTAAATAATCAAAAATATACTTTTTAAAGTTAAGGGATCAAAGTGAAACCTTAAATAAAGTTAAATGACCAAATATATACTTTAGTCTATTTCAAATTTAGTCCACCGACAATGTTCAAAATTTCATACTTATAAAATTTATTTCATACTATATATTTAAAACTTTAAAGATGTCAATTTAATTATAAGAAATGAATTTAAAACTAAATGAAAAAATTTATTGAATCATGGATATTTTTTAACAATTATATCTTTACAATAACAATGTAGAAAATAATTTTATTTTTAACATGCCAAACATCGCTTGCGACTGAGCAATTGCCGCCAATGCTATTGTCTAACCACCAGCTGCCATCTATAGGTGCTTATTGGAACTCTAATAAAGTACTTCTTCGGTATTAATTATTAAGACCTAATTAACTAATTTGAATAGATTAAAAATATTAGTTAAATTTGTTAATATTTTTTTTTCTAAAATACTTTAAGCATCATCTTTAATTCCTTCCGTCCTTCTTCTACTTGATTATTATTGGGAGAATATCAATATGGTTAATTTAAGAAAGATTAATAAATATGTGAAATAAGTCTTATATATAGAACTAACATCAACTTTCCAATTAACTACTATATTAAGGACTGGAAAAGTGACATTTTAAAGGTAATTTATGTAACAAATTTGCAATAAAATAAATTATTATTTATATTTGAGCATAACTGGGAATAACAAATTCTAAAGCATTATTATTTTAGGATGTATTATCTCACATAAATTAAAAATTAAACATCATGTTCTAGGTTAAAATTGAACAATAATATATATTTCACTAGTTGCATAAAAATATATATTATATCTGATCTTTAATATAAGATTTAGTTTGTAATTCAATTTATATATTCAGAATCGGACGGACGAGGTAGTGTGTGTGTCTCTCTGCTGTTTCATATTTATTATCCATTTTTTCATTCCTCATTTTTATTGCGGACCGCATGCTCTCCTTTACCTTTTTTTACCATATCAAAATTCTTTTAAAAAATTACCATATAAAATTTAGAGGGGGAAAAAACTGGATGGATATATAATATACTCCATTTAGTTCTTATTATAAGTTTCAAATAATTAATTTACGGATAACAAATAATTAATTAAAATTAGTTAAAAGTAATAAGTATGTTAGAAATATATTTTTATTTTTGAATATACTTTTATAGTAAATAAGAAGAAGAAAATATATATATATATATATGAGAAAATATGATAAGAGAGATTATGGTAAAGGAGAGATAATAAATGAATAAAGATAAAATTAAAAAAAATACATTAAATGTTAAAACAAACTTAAACTGAAACTCATAAAATAGATCAAATCTTTTTTCAAATTTAAAACTTATAAATAGAACAGGAGCAAGTACAAAGTAAAACACATACCCATGACCTCTTAAGCTGAGAGAAGCTGATATATTTTTTAATAAAATAATCAATTGTATTAAAGTAAGAAAATAAATACATAAAGACAAACACCCCTTTAGACAATCAATCATTAGACACCAAATTGTAAGGAAATACATATAAATAATCCGGATTGGATTATTTATCAAGTACTGTATGTGATTGTCATGATGCGATTAACAACCAGTACTTTGTCTACTACTGATAATGAGGATATTTTAATTAACACCCAAATTAATTAAGAGGAGCCCGTGTATAAATAGATAGAAGAATGAAAGAAGAGATGGATGCGAAAAGCGGTATATATGAAACTTACATAGACTGGTGAGATTAAAGGATGGCAAGAGGCAGCAGCGGAGCAGTCATCGGAAGTTGATTTTGGAACTGATGATGAGGGGTCGGTCGCTGAGAGATTTGGAGAGACAGAGAGAGAGAAGGCCCAAAAGCACAATTACAGTGGGAGGCTTGTTGATTGCGTGTATATATATATATATATATGTGTGTGTGTGTGAATACACAGAATTAGTTTGGAGATCCTAAAATCATCAGATTCGAACTGATCAAATTTGATCTGAATGACTCAAATTTAATATTTTTAATTAATTATTTTTAAATAAAAATATATTTAAAAAAAAGATAGTTTAAAAAATTATTGTTATTTTAGATTCTCTACTCATTAAAATAGTTATCTTAAACAAATTTTGAAAAAAAAAAATCAAATATCGACCGTTCAAATCAGATTTAGACAGATCTGATGAAATTTTTCTCAAACTAGTTCAATATATATGCTTGCATCATATGCTCATATTTTATTGTAATTTTACAAACTCACCGCTTTTTGCCACAATTTTCTAATCATTGATAATAGCATAATAAATACTCCTTTCATTGATTGGTCCAACCGTTGCACACTAAAAGCAGATATCTTGAAATTTGAACTCGTATTATGAGAGAATGAGGCTGTGTTTGGATTGCCATTGGGGGGAAAAAAACAAACGTTTTTCATTATAAAAAAAAAAAAAAAAAAAGCCACGACAGCTGGATTGATGTAACTCCTGCTGCAAGAGCTCACCTTCTTGACATTTTTTCCCTGAATTAAACTTGTTACACGCATGTATAATTTTATAGGTATTAAGTAGGTGTAAACTGTAAAGTCTTGGGTTCCGGTCAAAAAAAAAACTGTAAAGTTTTGTGGGGTTACTAAAGGTTCAAATAAAAATAATAAGATTTTTAAAAAAATTTAATTGGAGAAAACATGTTATTATCTTATAAATAGAGCTAATTAAATTTACTATAATTATTCGAATTGATTTGACACATGATGATGATCATGTAATTATTTTTCATTCAAATTGATCATTACAGGAAGATAAGGTGGAGGCATAGAGGTCGTACTGACCTTTCCCAACAAATCTTCAACAATAGCATCGTTAATATAAATTACTTATAATACATTTTCGTATGTTAGAAATTTGTTAAATTGACTCCGGTCAAAAAAAAAAAATTGTTAAATTGACAAAACTTTTTAGTTTTATAAAAAATTTCTTTCTTTATATTTACAAATCATTCTCATATCTTCCAATTCTTTCTCTCTTTTCAATAAAAATAAATAATAATAAAATTAAGAAATAAATATTAAATATATTATGAATGACTTATATTTATACTCCTCTGGTCCTTAACATAAGACTCAATCGTTGAGTTGGTTTTGATTCTAAATATAAGACCTATTTTTTATATTTATCAATTTTCTCTAAATGACCCCTATGGATACTCTTTCAACTATAATCAAGTACATGAAGAAAATAGGGTACTAAGAAAGATAATCATGGTATTTTAAGAAAAACGTGTCACATTTCTTATAATTAACTAACTTGTATAATTTTTTTAATCTAATCAAATTAGTTAAATAGGTCTTATATTAATGATCGGAAGAGTAGTATAATAAGAAAACAAGGAACAAGTTCATACTCCTTACCATCATTTATTGAGTGAGACAACTCCAACAACTTGTGTGGTTAACATTGAAGACATTGAAATGGAGATGAAGTCTGTTGGGGCTGTTCCATGACAATCAAATTAAAGGGCCGAGCTTGAGATAGGAGGAATGTATACTATAGGGTTGTAGGATTGAACGGGCCAACTCCAAAATAAATAGGCCGTATGTTTTAAAAATTTTGATAATTATATTTGTTCAATTTTTATTTAGCTAGTTTAAATTATTTTAATCCTTTACAAATTACATGAACATGATGCATGATTATCAACATGTTTTATGTGATTGTGGATCATTCTTATATGAATAAATCTAGAAAATTATTTGAAAGAACGTAAACAACATTTAAGCCTGATAATTATAAAATTTTAGATGTTTTGAACAGGTGAAAAAACAATCAACATAGATTTTTAATTTTTCAAGCCTTTAGTATTAGTCCATGCATCCTAAAAAAGTATAGAAGTTTCCTTCTTCCAACTAATGATCAAGCTATCATTTTTGTTCGTGACTAGTTACATGGTTTTACATATAAGGATAGTTTATATTTATTTTTGTTGTACTGTTATTTGTGCTTCTTACCATGAATAAATGATAACTATATTATGAGTGTGACTTTGGTTTATTATTTGTTGAAGATAATAAAAGTGATAAAGAAAAAAAAACATTGATATTTTTACACTCAAAGAGACTCTGCTCACAATAAAGCACAATCAAATATTATTGATGTGATATTAATGAAGATGATAATTAGGATGTTGATGTTGCTGATGATGGTTCATCTGTTTTATTTAGTTTTAGATAACAAAAGTTTGAGTTGATTTAGTTTTGGACATTTGGAAAATAATTTGACAATTTAGTTTGCTAACATTTGTGATTTGAATTAGAAATTTTATGAGATATATTGTTTTATTTTTGTCTATTTGAAAATAAGTGAAAAATATTTTAAAAAATTTTAGTGAAAGAACTACTGAATTTTTTTAAAAGGGGCCTATAGCTCGTGGGTCAGTCTTTTGAGAGTACTTTAAGCTCAGTGGACTTTTCAGGCGGAAAGCTGTCAAG